AGACAGACAGACAGACAGACTGAGAGAGAGACAGATAAAGAAAAAGAATCCAGGGGAAAGTAAATATATATGTATATGTACGTATGTATCCAAACGTAGACATCTAAAATCGCTCGTGGGTCGCAAATGTGTCGTAGTTCGGTTCACGATTACCCGAATCAGAGAATAGATAAAATTAATTAACAGATTCTGATTTAGGTTGATTTTCAATCTAGTTATATACATATCCAGGGATCTGCTTCGAAATTTCCGCTTCACTTCTGATATGGTGGTTGTAAACGCTTCTTTGATTTGTTGGTTATAATTTGGCTTTGTGGCCTGGTGATTCTGAATATACATCTGTTTTTAGAGATTGCAATATTTTGGTTTCCGTGTTATTATTTATTCACGTTTGATTATTTTCTGTCACTACAATAATCCTACATGTGGCAATGTGGATTTCCTCTTTGTTTTCGTGGCATTTGTTCTAATGAGCTTTCCTTCTTGATATCTTGACCGCATGAATTTAAGAGTAGAACTAGATAGGTAACTAGTTCTCACCGTTTTAGTATTGAACTTGAACTAGCTTGATGTAACCGTAAGTTCTATTCTAAGAGTTTCTTCTCTTGTACTTCTCACCTGTGAAACTCCCTTCCGGTTTTTTGTTTCACTGCTACATACAATCTTCAAAAATTTAAATGCAACTAGAACCTCCATCTTCTGTCTTCCTGGATCCTGTTCTTTATTTCTCTTTCTCCTCACTAAAGTTTTCTCATTCTCATTCACTCCCAATAACCCCTTGGTGTGTTAGAGGCATTATCACCTTGCTTGGTATGAAATGTTAAAAAAAGAAGTAATTATTGAACTCAAATGCTTGTGCTTCCTAGAAATTCCGCAGAATAGAGTATTTAAACATTTTTTAAAAGGTTTACAAAAAATCTTTAGAAATATATGAACAGATATCAATGATTTTTCAAGGCTTTCAAACATGACATTTTTAAATAACAACTGATTCCAATAATTCTTTAAAAATCAGGGTTCAGTTTTACCCTATATTGATATTATGAACGCGTCCCCCACTTCTAAAATGATAAAAATATTTTTTTTTATAATTCTGACAAATGAATGTCAAAAGAATATTAAAGTACAAAACTTATTTCCCACCGTTCATCAGGATGGGCGAAAATTCTGGCCGGCCTATAAAAGACGAAACATTACGTGCTTGAAAGTGCTTGAAAGTATGACCGTTCATCATTATAGGCGAAAATTCAGGCTTGCTTGGAGATGACCAAATATTAAGTACCTGAGGCTCCTGGACAGAATGACCGTTCATCAGACAGTCGAAATTTAAGGCCTGCTTGATGATGACGAAACATTACGTGCTAGAGACTCCTTGAAAGTATGACTGCTCATCAGATTAGGCGAAACGTCAGGCCTGCTTGATGATGACGAAATATTACGCGCTTGAAACTCTTGAAACTATGATTGTTCATCATGATAGGCGATAATTCAGTCCTGATTGGTGATGACCAAATATTAAGTGCATGGGACTCCTGGACGGAATGACTGTTCTTCAGGACAGGCGACATTTAAGGCCTGCTTGGTGATGACGAAACATTACGCGCTTGAAACTCCTTGAAACTATGACTGTTTATCAGGATAGGCGATAATTCAGTCCTGATTGGTGATGCTCACATATTAAGTGTTTCAGACTCCTTCACAGAATCACCTTTCATCAAGATAGGCGAAAATACAGGCCTGCTTAGTGATGAAAAAATTACGTGTTGGTGACTCTTTGAGAGTATGAACGTTCCTCGGGATATACGAATCTTCAGGCTTGCTTGGTAATGATGAAAAGTTACGTGCTTAAATCCCCTTTAGATGATGACCGTTCATCAGTATCGGCAAAAATTCAGGTCTACTTTTTGATAATGTAATATCACGTGCAAGTTTAGGGGGTCTTGAATGCTGTAAACCAATTTGACTCCACTGTGCTTAGTCATCGGGCCGAAATTTAATTTTCTTGGAAGCTTTGGAATTAATGTTTAATTAGATTTTTAGATTATATCTTCATAGATTTTCAGTTTATATCTTTATAGATTGTTAGATTGTATCTTTATTGATTTTTAGATAATATCTCTATAGTTTATAGATTATATGTATATATAAATAAAAAGAAAGAATAGTAAGATATATAATCCGGTGTTCTTGTTGATATGTTTTATTTTTACTTTAAAATAATGCTCAATGTAAATTTATAGAGCATAAATATTATAAATTAACTGATTTAAAATATGGTTTCTTCGCTACACAGTAATAACCATGTTTCAAAAACTGAAGCTAAATCTTCAAATTTAATTACATAATTAAATTAAAAACATTAGTTCTGTTTCATCTTCAAGCTAATTTTTGGAATAACTTATTTTTAAATTTACTGAGTTTTAAACGCACATATAAATTCATAATTTCCTGTTTCCAAGGATACAGAGAAATCCAATGATTAGACAAAGGCGGTAGCGTGTTCATTTTTGTTAACTATTGTATCACTTATGAGTTACATTCGAAAAAGAGGTTAAGTTTAGGGAGGGTAGGGGTGTATTTTTCAACGAATTCAGATATCCGTTAAACGCATGTCGTCTGTTTTTTTTTTTATTATTAATGACAAAAAGGTTTTCGGTACTATTTTTTTTCTGGCATTTTTTTTCGTACTTGTATACTTAAAGATTCTTTCTAAACGGAGTGCCTAGGTTAGAATACGCTATATTTAAGTACAATTTTAAAATATTTTTACTCTTAATTACTTAAAAAAGAAATATAGTCTATTGACTATATTTCTTTTTAAATCAAGTAAATGCAATAGAATTACTTAAATTATTTAAATTTATTTTTTCATATCAAATATAAGTATGTATATTACCATTTCCCATTTTTTTTTATTAAATATTATTTAAGGAAATTTTTTGACAATGACGGCAAAGAATAGCTATTTCATTTCTTTGATTCAGTAAATTTTTATTTTTTATAAACATAGTAATATATAGCTTCTCATGTATGCACAAAGGACATGGGTCATTTAATGACCTACATATTCTAGCTTTTCTTATTAATTTCCATTTTACTGTAGGTGTTTTAATATATATGTTCTGTAAATTTACATTGAGCACTTTTGTTTTTGTAAAAATAAAAATATCAATAAAAACACCGGATTATATATCTTACTGTTCTTTTCTTTTTATTATATATATATATATATATATATATATATATATATATATATATATATATATATATATATATATATACGTATGTATATATAGTTATATACTTATCCACAGACAGAATGTTTCGCTGTATCACAGCTTCTTCAGTGTGGTTAGATGTCCGATTGCTTCAAACCTGGATTGAAACCCGACTGATTTGACATCAGTCAGATAGACACATACAGTGAAGAATGAAATTATTCGTACACCTATCAATTTTGAATATTTATATTTGTTTCTCAGATTTTAATGTCCATATGATGCCAGGATTTTTACATGTTAATAAGCACAAAAAAATTGAATATAAGACTCAAGTTTTAGAACTAATTTGACAGGCAAATTATGTAAAATAGGAAAAAACAAAATTATTCATTCAGTAGAAAATACTGTTTTATATTTTTTTTTATTAAATATTATTTAAGGAAACTTTTTGACAATGTCGGCAAAGAATAGCTATTTCGTTTCTTTGATTCAGTAAATTTTTATTTTTTATAAACTTATAACTTTATGTACGTTCAAATGATATCTTTATCGATTTTTGGTTTGAAATTTTTTTTTTAATTTTTAGTAGATATCTTTATAGTTTATGTATTTTGAGGTGATATCTTTATCGATTTTGATTATACCTTTATATATATATATTAGATGCTATCTTTATATACTTTCATATTATATCTTTATAGATTTATAAATTATATCTTCATAGATATTTTTCATGCACTCTTTAATACGAATCTGCTCAATTCTTTGTCCATTGATTTTACCACTATTCGTAAAATCTTAATTGTGTACAGATTGCACTTGAAACTGTGCAATGCTTTCGTACAAAATAATATAAACATTCAATAAGATTTTTTATTTGTTATTTTATATATAACTCCTATTTTCTTTCTCTTAGATCCATATAGGTAAAATCTGTCTTTAAAGAGCTCTCTTAACTAAGTTTGTCTTCAAAGGAACCTGCTCTTAGTAGCATTGGCAAACCGGTAAAACTCTTCCAGCTACTAGAGCTATAGAAACCATTTCTTAGAAAATGTGATATTGGGCTGTTGCATGGATTCCTGGTGAGCAAGCTATTAATGATGAGCAGTTACACCTTGTTGTAATCTGTAGGTGGTATTACAGACGAAATGTTTCTGATTGGAAGATAAGGATACAAAAGAAAGACAAAAGCTTGTTTGCAAAGAACTTCTCCGTCGTGAAGGATTTGATTACAAGTTTGTTTTTTTTCCTTCGCTTTTTTTTTTTTGTCAATGAAATTGTATATGAAGAAAGTTTTGGCTTGGGAACTTTATTTTTAGTAGGGTAGATATACAATAAATGTTTTTGAAATTTGTGTAATTTTATTGGTTTAGAAATCAATTAGTCAAAGAGTGAAAGAAAAGCAAGCATTGAAGAAAAGAAAGGAAGAAATAAACCAGTGAAAGAAAACAAAACAAAAAAACAAGGAAAGAAAGAAAGCAAACAAAACAACCAGTAACAGAACAGAAAGAAAGAAAGAAAGAATGAATGATAAACAAGCAATGATAAAAATAAGTAAGAAAGAAAGACAGCAGTGAATAAAACAAAATGGCAAGCCGTGAAAGAAAGTAGACAAAGCAAACAGTGATGGTAAGAAAGAAAGAAAGAAAGAAAGAAAGAAAGAAAGAAAGAAAGAAAAAAAGTTTGAATGAAAAGCTAGCAATGAAGAAAGAAAAGAAAGAAAAACTAGTGAAAGAAAACAAGAAAAAACAAGCAGAGGAAGAAAATAAAACAAAACAATCAGGAAGTTAAGAAAGAAAGAAAAGAAAGAAAGAAAGAAAGACAGAAAGAAAGAAAGAAAGAAAGAAAAAGTTTGAATGAAAAGCTAGCAATGAAGAAAGAAAAGAAAGAAACTAGTGAAAGAAAACAAGAAAAAACAAGCAGAGGAAGAAAATAAACAAAAACAATCAGGGAAGTTAAGAAAGAAAGAAAGAAAGAAAGAAAGAAAGAAAGAAAGAATAGAATGAAAAGCTAGCAGTGAAGAAAGGAAGAAATAAAGAAAGCATTGAAAGAAAATAAGAAAAAAAGCAGAGGAAGAAAATAAACAAAACAATCAGGAAAGTAAAGAAAGAAAGAAAGAAAGAAAGAAAGAAAGAAAAAAAGAAAGAAAGAAAAAATAGAATGAAAAGCTAGCAGTGAAGAAAGAAAAAAACACTGAAAGAAAACAAGAAAAAATATGTAGAGAAAGAAATAAAATAAACAAAGCAACCAGAGAACTTAAAGAAAGAAAGAATGAATGAAATAAAGAAAAAGTTAGAATGAAAAACTAGCAGGAAAGAAAGAAAAAAGAAACCAGTGAAAGAAATCAAGAAAAGACAAGCAAAGAATAAAAGAAAATAACAAAGCAACCAATGAAGGTAAGAAAGAAGGAAAGAAAGAAGGAAAAGGTTAGAATGCAAAGCTAGCAGTGAAGAAAGGAAGAAAAGAAAAAAAAGAAACCATATATATATATGTGTGCGTGATAAGATAAAGAACAAATAGTAAATGTATATCTAACATGTTCCACTTTTATTAAAGCTTAGCCAGAGACTGCGAGGAAACAGACAAAAAAAAACTTTGGTATTTTCAAATTTGATTGGGACAAGAAAAAACAAGCAGAGAAAGAAAAACATAAACAAAGTAACCATTGGAGTTAAGAAAGAAAGTGATATAATGAAATATGCGTACACTTGTATCACTGGAATATGATTGGCTGGTGTCCATCATAAATACCGACGGACGTGTAGGAGAGTCAGAGCCTTAGTCTGAGAGCTAAGTCTATAAGGACGCCCATTGGACTACGCCATTAATCTACACTTCTTACCTGAGATTACGATGCGTACCAGTCGATTACTGCTACCGTATTCTACTTGGTTATAGTAGTCAAAACCACTTAGCTACTTCGTTCAAATATATCCCTTTTCGGGACGTATAAGAAAGAAAAAAAGAAAGAAAGAAAGAAAGAAAAGCAAAAAAATAAAGAAAAGAAAGAAAGGGAGCTAGCGATGAAGGTAAGAAAGAAAAAAAAAGAAAGAATGTAAAAAAAAAAAATGAAAAACAAATATAACAGAAATAAGCTAAGTAGAAAAGTTAAAATATAAAAACAATGAAAGATGAAAAGGAAACGGAATAAAACTAAAAGATAAATTTAAAAATAATGAAATATAGAAAATAAAGAAAAACAATTTTTTTAACTGAAATAAAACAGGATAGAAAAATGGAAGAAAACAAAAAGTGAAAGATGGAAAAGGGACACAGCTGAAAGAAAAGAAATATGAATGAAAGAGAACAGGACAATTAAAAAGAGGAAAACAAAAGAAAACGAAAGAATAAAACAGTAAAAAAAGAGAAAGAACGAAAGATAAAGAATAAAAAATGTAAAACACTAAATAAATGAAAGAGAAATAAGATTAAAAGAAGAGAAATTTGGATTAATGTAAGAAAGATTAAAACAAAAAAGGAAAACAGAAGAAATGAAAACAAAAAGGAAAGAATAATGGATATAAGAAAAAAGAAGAAAAAAAAGAAAAAAAAAGAAAAGAAGAAAGCAAAGATGAAAGAAAGAAAACAGAAAAATGAAAGTAGTAAAATAAAAAAGAATGAGGAAAAATGGAAGAAAAATAAAAATGGAGAGGGAAACTATAAAAAAAATGATGGAAGAAAAAAAGAAAATGAAAGAAAATGAAAGCAACAAATAAAGAGAAATAAAAGGAGGAAAACTAGAAAAAAAGCCAAAATAAAGAAAAGCGGGAAAATGAAAGTAGAACATAGAAAAAATAAAACAAAAATAAACACATTGTAAAAAGAAAATAGAAAAAAAAAATGACAGAAAAAAAAACACAGAAAAATGCAAAGATAAAATTAAGAAAATGAAGGGGATGCAGAAAAAGAAAACTGATAACAGGAATAAAATAAGAAACGTAAAAGGAAAAGTGAATAAATGAGAGAAAAACAAAAAAAAATGTTCATAAAAATTCGAAAAAATGAAAGCGAAAATCAAAAGACGGAAAAAATGAAAATAGAAAAACAGAAAAAGGAAAGCCAAACAGAAAAATGAAAAAGAAAAACGATAAATAAATAGAAAAAATGCAATGGGAAAAGAGAAAAAGAAGAAAAAAATAGAAAATTAAAGAATATAAAAAAGGAAAGAAAAATAGAAAAATGAAAGGAGAAAAACAGAATAATGTAAAGGGAAAAGAGAAAAAGAATATATATATTTATATATATTCACTACATATATATATTTACTATATTATATAAATTAATTGATTTAAAATATGTTTTTTTCGCTACACAGTTCTAACTATGTTTCAAAAAAAATGGAAGCTAAAAGCCCTGAATTTAATTTTGTGATTAAATTAAAGACATTAGTTCCATTTCATCCTCAAGCGAATTTTTTGGAGTAACTTTTAAAATTACTGGGTTTTAAATACACAGCTAAAACAAAATTCATGTTTCCACGGTTAGAGATAAATCTATTTTCTAGACAGGGGTGTCTGGGTTTCAATATAAAAATATCTATAAGCACACCGGATTATATATCTTACTGTTCTTTTTTTTATATATATATATATATATATATATATATATATATATATATATATATATATATATATATATATATATCCGTTCTATTTTTTTAACAACTTCGTAATCATTTAAGCCTAAATGTTCGGTTAAATTTGAATTTGAAATTTGTAATTTTCAATCTTTAATTTTACAGTGAAATTAGAAGTTAATTATTTGATATTGATTTCTAGTTTAATCTAACCTTAACTTTAATACACTAATGATTTGTATTTAGAATATAGTGTCACGTTTTTTGAATTTTCATATACTTATATTCTGATTGGTCATCATAGGTTACGTAACAATGTTTCCCCTATTCAGTGCTTTTGATATGGTTTTGAAATGTCAAAAAACTCAATCAACACCATCACTTGATAAGACACCAGAAGTGTTGAAACAAAATGGCTATTTTTGTAATGATGCTATAAAATACTTATGCTATAATTTTTGAATATATATTATTTGCTCTACTTTGTATTGAGCACATTTTTTAAAAATAGTGTTTTTGTTTATGGGAATTTTATAACATCTATACCAACCCTGTAACTGGATATATATATATATATATATATATATATATATATATATATATATGATAAAATAAAGAACAAATAGGAAATGTATAGCTATCTAACAGGTTCCACTTTTATTAAAGCTTAGCCAGAGACTGAGAGAAAACAGACAAAATGACGGAACTTTGGTATTTTCTAATTTGATTGGGACAATTTTCATTAAACTTACATAAATATAGACCAATGACGAAGCTTTAATATAAGTGTAACATGTTAGATTGATATACGTTTACAACTTCTTTATCTTATCATCCTGTCGGATTCTGATCCATATTTGATCTTTAACTCATACATATATCTATCTATCTATCTATCTATCTATCTATATATATATATATATATATATATATATATATATATATGTATATAAATAAAAGAAAGAACAGTAAGATAAAAAAAAATGGTGTTCTTATAGATATTTTATTTTTATAAAATAGTGCTCAATGTAAATTTACAGAGCATTAATATTATAAATTAATTCGCTTGAAGATGAAATGGAACTAATGCTTTTTAATTTAATTGCAAAATAAAATTAGGGGTTTTAGCTTCTATTTTTGAAACATGGTTGGAACTGTGTAAAAATAACCATATTTTAAATCAATTAATTTATAATATATATATATATATATATATATATATATATATATATATATGTCCATAATGTTCGAGTGAACTTTAAAAAATTTATAACTTTATTTGTATTTGCGATAGAAATAATTTGTAAAAAGGATTAGAAAGAAGTAAATCAATATTTTTTAAGGTTTTATTGAAATTTTATTTAAGTTTCCACATGTCCTCCATCATTAGCAATACAAAGGGTAACACGATTTTGCTGTTCACGGAAAACATTTGCCAACTGATTTACAGTAATGCCTGAAATCACATTATGAAATATTTTAGCTATACTTAAAACTAGGTACATTAAACTTCATAAAAATTTTACAGATTATTTCTATCGCAAATACAAATAAAACTATAATTATTTTAAAGTGCGCACGAACTTTATGGACACCCTGCATATACGAGTTCAGAAGAAAAGTATCAGGACTATTTATATAGTGACAGAGCTAAAGTGCACAGACTGAAGCTGTTTGACAGAAATTGACCTTGAGCCCTGTTACGCATAGATGCAATTTATAAAATTCCCACTCACTTCCGTTGTTTATAGCAGTGCTTGAAAGGAAAGTAGAGTGTGGTCGTCTTACTACACCACAGAGATTCTATCAGTGACCATGGCCTGGGCAGTGGTTTTGAGCCAAGCACGACATTCCCCAGGTCAGACAATCAGCATATTCCCCAGATCTTTCCGACTTTTTCCTCTTAAAAACATTAAATTCCATTTGAAAGGAAGAAGATTTCAAAACATTGAGGAAAGCCAAGAGAATGAAAGGAGGCTGTTGCTTGTTATCCCAAAAAGTGTCACAAGAATATTTCTATCAATGGAAACAATTCTGGATAAAGTGTGTGGCTTCAGAAGGGGACTACTTCAAAGGAGATTAAATGCTGAATTGATATGTGTTGTAGTTTTATTTTTATAGTACAAGTCCTGACAATCTTTGATCAGACTTCACATATGTGTGTGTATACATGTTAAATAATTAGAAATTATTAATTTTTGGCTAATCCCATAATTATGCTGTTTGCTTACGCCAGCAAAATTGTTCAAACTCTCACCTATCGTGAACGATAAATGTGGGTCAGCATTAGATGTTGCCTTTTGTTTTACACTTATGCATGTTAGCAGGGGCTATTGTGGAGAAACATATAAGGGAAAGACATATTCCATTTGTGCTTTCTTAAGTGTGATACTAGCCAAGACTTACTGCGAGCGACAAAGCCACACTGACAGATGAAATTTGTTAAAGCAGGATTTTGATGGCGTCTCTGCTTCAGAGCTTGATGAAGCCGATCACGGTGCTTCAGTCTACTGTCTTCAAAACCCTTTAACTTAATGAAACATGTCTTACCCCCATTCCTTTCGGTTTCATGCTTAGGCTTCCCAGGTTTTCAGATCAAAGTTGAGACTTTTCAAGTTTGTTTTAATTTTGTCTTTGTAGCGTAAGTGTGGACGTCCAACTGAACGCTTGGAGTTTGGTAAATGTCCATACAGCACCTTCTTTTGAAGTCTATACTCATCCATTCTCACAACATGACCAGCCCACCTAAGTTGTATTGCACTATTTTTGACCCTGTCATCCCATTTTATATCACATATGGCATGAAGACAGCACATGTGAAAGGTTTCAAGTTGATTTATATGCTTGCAGGGCAGGGTGCAAGTTTCAGCACCATAGGGAAGGATTGAGAGAATGAATGATCTGTATATGTCAAATATATATATATATATATATATATATATATATATATGACAAATTCTTTCAAATTTTTTCTTGACATATAAAAATTTATATATGAATTTATATTAAGCTCCTGAAAATATATTTCAATTGAGTACTGTTGAGATATAGGCTAATTCTATAAACAACACGCACCTGCGCTAATGCAAAGCTCTTAGGTAAAATGAATTGGATCCCTCTGACTGATTGGGGTTTGTTTATATTCGTAAAAACAATACGCTAGAATTAGCTGTTCCTCGCTGCCGAGTGATGATGGCTTAATGGTAGAAACTCTGAGTGACACTAAATAGGTCGGGTTTCGGTCCTGGCTCGAAGCATTCGGATGTCTGGTGGTTCTGAGAAGGCATGATACAGCGAATCAGTACTGTCTGCGAACGATATGAATTTATGTATCGTTATCCCATATATATTCATTTCAGACTTTGGAAGTAAAGTCTGATGGTCCAGAACCCTGTTAAAGGGGTTATGGTGAAATAGCTTATTACATGGAATCTTAACGTGGTCTGTCTTTTATTCAATATATATATATATATATATCTTTCCCAGAGTTGTTTGCGTGTAAGGGAATATAACGAATGCAACTTGAACTCGGATCTCCGATTAATAATCCCGAGCTGTTTTAAATTACACCAACTGCACATCGAAACTTACAGCAACTGGTATTCCCAATCTTGGTACTAACCAAGCTCGACGTTGCTTAACTTCGGTGATCATACATTCTTTCGATGAGAAAGATGATGTGTGAAAGAAATTGAAAGAAATTTGAAACTAGTGATGATTGAGTCATAACAGAATATACATACACACACGCATATTATATTTATGGATAGATAGAAATAATTAGGAGGATTTGAAATAATCATAATTAAGTAATTCCTAGAGTCTAGAAGAAACTTCAACAGAATGCAGAAAGCACTGGACGGCCGTTTCGTCCTATATTTGGGACTCATCAGCAGTAAACATCAAATACCTCTTCGTCACCGAGGCCCGTTGGTACAGTTGGTATGGCGTTTGCCTCCTAACGTAACTGTTTGGGTTTCAATTCTCAGGAGTGGATGCGCACTGCTGATGAGTCGCAAATATAGGACGAAACGGCCGTCCAGTGCTTTCTGCATTCTGTTGAGATTTCTTCATTATATATATATATAGTCATCCACAGCTCAACAGCGTGGCTAGACGTCCGGTTGCCTCTAGCTTGGATTAGCGTCAGAATCTACCCTTATATATATATATATATATATATATATATATAAAGAGAGAGAGAATATATTTAGAGAGAGAAAGAGAGAGGTAGATTATATATATTCGACTATATATATATATATATATATATAAATATATTAAAGGAGAAAGTGAGTACATTGTAATACGGAGAGAAACGTATGAATCTACTGATATCATTAGGAGAACAGAACGAAAATTATAAAAATAAAATTTGAGATTTTTGATGACTGGCAAAAAAAAAAAAGAGAATGAAAACAAACGAAAGAATCTTCAGGAATTCTAAACTTTATTTCTTTATTCGATTTTATGCAAGTAAATAAATCGGCTGGAAACCTTGGATCTCCCGCAGAATGAAAAAAATCTCTTTTGAATGTGCTTCTTTTTATGTCCAGTCCATTGAACACAGACTGTGTCCAATATGAAAAAAAGAATGAAGACCAACGCAGGAAACATTTACCGTTTTGGCAGGAAGGAAGCTATAAGCCTTATGAAAAAGCAACATTTAGCAGAAATGATTCCAGTAGCCATTTCGAGATTTGAGAACTGACTTCACCATGAAAATCGAGAAGGAAGAGGAAGGATGACTGAAGGAAAGTAAAAATGGTAGAATTCAATGCAGAATTCAATGGGCTTTGAATCTTGACTAAGTTCAAAGAAAAATAAATTTCATGTCTTTCATCACAACAAATTCGTTTAAAAGATCTGGAACATTCATTACAATATCTAAAATTACCCAAATCTTTACTTAGAGTAGATAAGCTTTTTCATACAAATAAAGATATATACAAATACATATAATCTCATTCCATGCAGATATCGAGAGAATATCAACGATTTAACTATATTATTATTAATATCATTATTATTATTATTTATCTAAAACGATTCTATTAATTTTTCAAATGTATGCCAAATTGTATTTTATTTACATTTAAATTAGAATACAATTTACAATGTTTTTCCTGTTATCTTTGTATGTTTTATTTCCTTCAAGTTTGCTTTTATCTCCGTGAACACATGCTTATTTCCTGCTGCTATGATGTGAGTCAATCCTCCACAACATATCCTTTTTTTTATAGATTTATATATTTTTATACCTGGAAAAATTGTTTACATATAACTTGATAAAGACAGATATTCTGCTGAAATATTGTTTAACATTGTCAAACACTGCGTTTTTTTCCTTTTCTTTATATTTTCTTAAGTCGCGCACTTTTCTTAACTATTATTATTATTATTATTATTATTGTTGTTGTTGCTGTTGTTGTTGTTTGTTATATTAGGATGTATCTAATATATTTCTGTTAATTTTACAAATCTGTGTGCCAAATTTCATTTTATTTACACATCTAAATATTATCTGCAACTGGGTTTTATTATAATTAATATTATTATTATTATTAATATTATTATTATTATTAATATTATTATTATTATTATTTCAACACTTAGAGAAGTGTGTGATTTAAGAAAAGAAAAGACGCAGTGTTTTACAATATTTCGATTGTCTGTCTTATTCAAGTTATGGTATAAATGGCATACAAGTATAAAAAATATTTTAAACAATCTACAAAAGTACGTTTTTATACAAAGGTCGCTTGTCTTGAGAAAAAAAGTTTGTACCGATAATCAGTGCGTTAAAGCGGATGAAATGCAACCAGCGTGAATTGAATGTGACTGAAACGAGAGTAACATGAAGGTGATCGTGCTCATCTTGAAATTTTCCGTCAATTAAATAGTAAGAGCAATTAAGCAAATAGTTTAGTATCAATCTTATGGAAATTTCCTGTAATTTTGTTCATAACATCAGAGTAGGACATTATTAATTTGCATATATGTTTATCCTCATGTGTTTTAAAGGTTGAAATGTCAGTAGATTGGAATGGTTGTATCAATCATTTTGTTTATTATTATTATTATTTATAGTAGCGGTACCCGTGGAAATTCCACGGTTTTACTGTTTTTCATTGAAATTAATAGTTTTGAGGTTTCCTAACATCGTAAAAATTTTAAATTTTGAATAGTATGCAGTGAGCCACACCAAAAATAAAAATATAAAAATAAATATGTAAACAAAAATAAAAAGAATTCAAATTAAGATAAGTCATATGCACTTTCCTTTAAAACCCTTATTTCTCTCTCTCTCTCTCTCTCTCTCTCTATATATATATATATATATATATATATATATATATATATATATAGCGTGTCCATTAAGTTTGTGTGCACTTTAAAAATTTTAACTTTATTTGTACTTGCGATAGAAATAATCTGTAAAAAATGTTATGAAGTTTAATGTACCTAGTTTTAAGTAGAGCTAAAATAACTAATGTGATTTCAGGCATAACTGTAAATCCATTGCCAAATGTTTTCCGTGAACTACAAAATCGTATTACCCTTTGTATTGCTAATGATGGAGGACATGTGGAAACTTAAATAAAATTTCAATAAAACCTTAAAAAAAAATTTAGATTTACTTCTTACTAATCTTTTTTACAAATTATTTCTATCGCAAATTATAAATTTTTAAAGTTCACACGAACTTTATGGACACCATATATATATATATATATATATATATATATATATATATATATATATATATATATATTAAGTTCTAATTTCAAGGTAAAATTAAAAACTGAAAATTACAAATTTCAAATTAAAATTTAACTGAGCATAAGGTTTAAATTATTACAAAATTGTTCAAAAAGGAACGGAGAAAACTTTAGAGTGACTTTTGATATCAAAAATGAAATACTCATTAGATTTAAGAGTGCTAATGGTACCATCTATTACAGTATGGTCTGTCACATTATCAGCAACTAAACTAGTTCCCTCACCAGGCGTTTCTTGTAAGGTTAGTGTGTAGACATCCAGCAGGATTGAAAGCAAGATCTGTCAAAGGGCTGATTATCATTCTTGTAAGGTAAATGGCTATCTAGCTCATAACCATCCCGAAGATGTGACTTCCAATTGAAGGACATCAGCTGTGGTTCGCACTGGAGAAGGACTCCCAAGTCACCCAACGCTAGAGTGGATACCTCTTTTAACCCAGATATGAGGAAGGAACTGGTCAGGTGCTCAGTTGTGCATCGATAATATGACAACCCTCGTCATAGGAGTGATGATGATTTTGATTACAGGCTTACGGTTCATAGCACGTTGAAACACCAGTTCTCATATGGTCACCGAAGTAAAGCAACATTGAATCTGGTCAATATCTAGATGGGTGACCACTTGGGAATACTAGGTGCTGTAAGCTTATATGTGCGGGTGGTGTAATGGATAATGGTCCAGAACTGGAAATTAGTGATGTGAGTTCCAATTCTAGCCAGTTTCGTTCCATTCACTAACATACCCTTGGGAAAGGTATGAATCCACCTCTTCTCTCCCCAGCTATGGGTCAAACAGTAAGACTTATATCAATAAATCATTATTATCTCCAGGAATTCTCAAAATCTAAAAATATTTTCTTTCTTTAAATAACCTGCAAAAGGTTGATAAGCCGTAAAAAAGTAAAATAAAAAGATTTTGCTTGTGATGATAAGTGAACATATTATGAAGAAATCGAATATTTTTGAGTGGCACAATCAACTCTCAGGAGGGTAACCAGACGTACACGATAATGCAAACGCAACAGGTGCAAACGTATACAGGCTGAAAACCTTGGTGCTTTCAGAAAAAAGTTAAGTGGGCAACTGATAGCAAAGGAAATTAATATTAATAGAGTAAAAGTTTAACAAATTCTAAGCAAGGATTTATTTTAGAATAAAAAAAGGATGCATTAGAAGCTCACGAGGGGAGGACCAGAAAGACAAAATATTTATTTGGTGAAACTGATGTGCATGATGCATTTTCAGTTTTTGAACTTGCTGCAAACATTTGTGCATTTAATTATTTCTAAAATAGAAAATGCCATGAAAGTGCAAAACTTTGCTGATATAATCCCACAAGGGGGAGGGGGCATTTTTGAAGACATCAGTTTAAAATAATGCCTCAAAATTCTTAGCATCTAAATATATATATATGTATCGACCATTATAAGATAAAACAAAATTCACAACTGAATACTACTACTACTACTAATAATAATAATAATAATAATGATAATAATAATAATAAACAAGTAAAAGAAAAATTCATTATGGTGAATATAACATGAAGAAACAAAATATTTTTAAGTGGCAGAGTTTGGCCCATGATATGTTCAGACATAGGCCAGATACTTAGAGAATGGCTGGCTCAGAATAGGAAACTGCTAGTTAGAACTCTGATGACCCGAACTGAATAGATGAGGTTTAAACCCCATGGGAATGGAATTATGATGGTAATGCATTGCTTTTGTTTAAGCTTTGGTATAAGACCAAAAATGCATAAAGATTCACAGACGCTTGCAAGAATTTGAAGGACCAAAATTCTTCGCCACACTAAGCTTCCATAGTGGGGCAAGCCAGAACGTTGCGATGAGATTTTGATCAACATGTTGACATGCGCCTTCACGATCATCTCTCTCTCTCTCTCTCTCTCTCTCTCTCTCTCTCTCGCTTCCTACAAGGGAATAACGCCATGACTACTGTCCCTCATAAAAGAAAGCAACATTAATACAAATTGAAGGTTGTTGGTGCAATCTATGATGTGGAGAACTGAAGGAAGAAAAGACACGGAATGCAACAAGATGTACATAAGAATGCGACAAGAGCACAGACTAAAACTCTAATTGCCGATGTAAATGTTTTTTCGAAAGAGCCGAAGGGCTTATGGAAGAAACGTCATGTGGGTTCACCACAATGACAATGATTTCTGCATAAGAAGGCACTTGGAGATCGTGAGTTCTTGGCTAAGACATCCATTACAAAAATGTTGCCATCTACCTTATTCACCAGACTTAACTGCGAGGAATCTTCGGCTATTTCCACGATTGAACAATGCTCAAAACGAACAAAGACTTACAGACATCCAGCAACATGTGCCAATATTACCGAAAGGTATTCTAGTAAAAGTATTCGTCAAAGTATTCGAGACTTTAATCAATGCTGATACGGTTAAGCAGATTACCTCTCACGACGTACTCTCTAACAAAAAATATAGCTTCCGTTTTGCCAGATCTAACGCTGATGTGCTAATGGCCATCACTGATTATGCATATCAAGCTCTTGATAATAACGGTGAGGTTTGAGCTGAGGCTTTAGATATCTCGAAGGCCTTTGACAGGGTTTGGCACACTGGTGGTCTACGTAATTTTTCAAACATCGATTTAATTTTCCTGGAAATCATTAGTTCCACTGATGAAATTCTCGATGCAGTATGAGGGTTAGGGGTCAATCTATAAATACTTAAATACTGTTATAGCATCACTTCCTCCATCTCCTCTCTGGCTTATTTCTTTAACGCATTTTAAACGTATCAGGAAATCGTTCAGCCTGACCATTTGATCTTGAGTGGTATGGCGACTTTGTTATATGTTAAACTGCATAGTATTTGCAAAACCTTTTAAAAGTCGCTCGAAGTAAATTGCATGTCTGGAACTCCTCATCTCGAAAACAGTTCAGGAAGAAAAGTTACACTTACAGGTCTTCTACACTTAAATATATCAGACCATTTTGAAAAACTATCGATGACAATCAATAATACAAACCAAGCAAAGCTTCCGCGTAATCAACATGTAACCTAAACCAAAGTTTATCAGTGTTAGTCCATGGTTGATAATTTATAGGTCGTAATTTTGCCGCTAAATCAAAATCACAACCTCTGTATGACATAACCAAACTGCTTTAAAATTCTTTTAAAAAAAAAAAAAACAGGAATTTTTCATCGTTCTTCATCACAGATGGTAAAAGAATTATTATTTTCTATAACACCTGATTTTTTTTCTTTCTTTCCATTTCACTTTTACGTCATTCATCATTTTCAAAATGCAGTCATTCTTCTTGGGTTGTATTTTAATTTCATCCAAAGTCACAGGTCCGTTCTGGGTATGACGATAAACTACATCCGCGTCCAGGGTAAGACGATAAATTACGTCCAACAGCAAGGCCTCTGATCAGGAGGTTTTGAAGAGCGTGGAATCTCCTTTTAATTGCTGGTGTTCCCAGGTCCACCCTGACCCGGGGTGGTAGCACCTGTTAGGGTCCCAGCTATGGACAAATAGTTAACCCCAAAATTAGGGCAAAAACACTATGAAAGTGTAAAAAAGGGTTTTAATACCAGAAATACTTTGTAATAAATTATTATCAGCAATAAATCATTTTTGAAGAAAAAAAAACTATTATCAGTTATACATTTTTGAAAAGAAAATATTAAAAACAATGCATTTTTGGAAAAAAAATATTACCAGCTATACATTTTTGAGAAAAAAATATTATCTGAAATAGATTTTTGGCAAAAAAAATATTACCAGCAATAAAAATTTTGTCGGCATTAAATAACCCATTGAGGTTGATATACCGTAAAACAAATCAAACCAAACCAAAGTCACAGCTAGTTCGCTTATGGAGTTACATACATCACTTTTTATCTCATTTTCAGAGATTAAAAATGCAATCATCGTCTCCTCAAAAGTTCCCTATATATATATATTTTTTTTTTTTGATTAATCTGGACAAACCATCTGCATGCCATAATTTCTTTTCTGGTAAATACTCCATCTTAAAATTATGGTTTAGCAAAACCGTTCCCAAACTTTTTAATCTGTTGGCATTATGTATCGGAATAGTATTTTTAGAACAAAAAATTACTCAATAATGTGTGGTGATCTATTTGCAGAATAAATTGTGTGAAATGTTCTCACTGCAAAAGTAATAGCTAGTGTATCTTTTTTAATTTGACTATATTTTTATCAGCCAATATTAGCAGCCTAGATACATATTCAACTGCTTTTAACTCACCGTCCTTGAATTTATGACAAATAACTTGTCCAATGCTATAATCTGCTGAGGCTATTATTTCTAAATCAGGATTGAAATGCGTTAACGACGATTCAGCGGTTAACATGTTATTTATATCTTCAAAGTATTTTGATATTCATTGGACAAATTCCACACCGCATCTTTTCTTTTTTCAATAATGTATTTAAAGGCGCTCTCAATTTATGACTGTTTGGCATATAAATATTGTAATAGCTTCCGAGCCTTAGAAATGACTGTAAAGGCGTAATGTTTATCGGGGTAGGCATATTTTTAATAGCAATAGTTTTTGATGGATCTGATCTACGTCCATTTGCATCAATTATTTATTCCAGAGGGGGGAGGGGAATTTTATATTGCTTCTGAAAAATTGGCTTTTCTCGCCACTGAGTTTGAACCTGTAATCCTTTATTTTCTGGAATACTTGTTGTAGTTGTTCTGAATGTTGCCGTCTTGCTTCGCTTTTAATGAGCATGTCGTCTAATATGCAGCGGCAAAATCTAATACACGAATATTATTATATTTCTTTTTTCACATGCACTGTTTGAGCTGCACACTCAGAATAATTAGTGGACGAAATATCCCCTAGAGTTTCTAATCTGTCAAGTTCTTTATCAATGGATTCCACAACTGCAGAAGGCACACTACATTTAGGTTTAAAAACTGGAACCGCAGGAAAAATAAGCTAAAGTAAATATCCTCTACCACAGATTTGCTTTTCAGTTATCTGACCTTAACCATAGGAAAGGAAGAACTGTACGTATTTCTTTATAAGCGGGTGTAGTGGGTTAAGATCACCGCCAGGTATCAAAATTACATATATAAAAATAATGAAATATACAACAGTGATGGCATTCTAAGAATAGTTTTCATAGCACTAAGAAGCTAGATGCAAATGAATGTAAACTTCATTGAAAAATCAGCCTAATGAGCCATATAAGACAACTTACTATCAGAATGAATAGAGTGTGCAGCAGAATCAGACCGAAAATAGGATAAGAACAGTACGGGTTCGTTAAGGACACTGGAACAAGGAATGCAATGTTTATGCTCAGAGTGATATCAGAAAGAGCAATAATAGTAGGTGTACCTGTGTTTTATAGATTATGAAAAAGCATTTGATGTAGTACGTCATAAAGAACTATTGGAACTACTAGATAACCTAGAGACGTTTGGGAAAGAATATAATAGTCCGACAGCAATACTAGGAGCTAACCATCTGTATACGGATAGAAAATGAATCCAGCAAATATAAAGAAATATAAATGGTGTAAGACAAGGATGTGTCTTCTCACTGAACTGATTCATCCTATAGAGCGAGACAATTCTGAGATATCTAGATGCTCTACCAGGATTCA